ACGGTAATTTCATATCAAGTCTTATTTTCGTTCTGAATCACGAAATGATGACATCAAACTTAATAGAAATCTTAAAAACAATCAAGTGAAAATTTTTTTCTAGAAGACCAAAAACATATGATTAAGAAACCATAATGACCAGAAGCGCCTTGCTAAAAAACCTCTGTGTTATTGTCGGTTTTGTGGTTTAAAATGTTTTTCATAAAATCCCCTTATTTCAGTGCCTTGATAAACAAGCCGGTCTCTACTTAACGTGCTGAGTGGCCGGTACAAAATATATAGACACAAAAGAAATGAAAACAGAGTTGAAGGTAAAATATGACGTCAATATCTTGTGGCAAAATTGATATCAATGCCCTGAAACAGAACTCAAGGAAAAAAAACTTTATTAATTTTTTTTTTTTTCAATGATGACATTTATTGAGTTCAGGTTTTTTGGCGATAGAAACGTCTCACTAGTGATATTTTTTTTGAATATGCTACATTAGTTCTCACATTGACATTCCATTTTTCTGAGAATCTGAATTGCTCTCATTCTGAGTTTAGAGTTTAGTTGTTATTTGACGTGAACAGAATGAAGGTATTAAGGAAGCAATAAGGAGAAGCAATAAGGAAAAGCAATAAGGAGAACAGACTGTTCATAATTGCTCGTAATTTAGAAACGTTCGGTAAATTTAGAATAAAGCTAGTTTCTTTAGGATAAGTTGTGCATCTGGATTTTATCGAAACCATTTTGGGGTTAATTAGCCTCAGTCTTCAGTAAATTAAAAAAGTTATGCGACCAATTCAAGTTATTAAAAGTCAAATCAGCTGCCACATGGGGAGAAAACCCCACAAATCTACGCCATTGTTAGCTATAGTGAATAACAGATTTACACCAACAAGTTTGAGCGAAGCGGTCGGTCATGACTGACAGCATAAGCAAGTGTGGGTAATAAAATGTAATGCAACATTTAAATTATTTGTTTTTTTCCACTACGTGGCCTACTGAGGATGCGAGATAAGAGAGGATTTAATGAGTACCAACTTTAAGGAATGTCGTTCATGAAGCTCTGTTATGTAATATTTCGTTTCTCCCCTTGGTCACCTTGGCACCTCTATTCCTAGCTATTTTTGGTTTCCTTGTGAGATGCAAAAACTGAAAATGATCCTGACGTGGCTACCTAACTGAACATCAGACTTTTCATCATCGCATTAAAAGACTACTGTACAGGGCCCAGTTGTACGAAACCTGGAAAGCGCTACCCGACGGATTCTGAATCTTATCCAGTGGATAAATTCATTATATAACAGCATCGACTTATCCACTGGAGAAGGATTTATCCGGCGGATAGCGCTATCCAGGCTACGTACAACCGAACCCAGAAGAAGATAAAACCTCAGTATAGCTTAACGTATGCTTTATCACATAAGTCTAAGCGACATTCATTCTGAAGTACCTTAAAATCCCTTGTATTGATCTTGTATTGAGACGAAGGGCTGTCTATGGGGCGAGCAGTTGAATGAAGAAATAATGAGTTTAACCCGTTTATGCTTTGGTTTTTACCAATGATCACGTGACTTTAGGGAGAACCCCACAAACACATTGTGTAATGAGATGCGGCTTGCAAAGTGTGTGGAATTCCTATGTTCAATAAAATTTAGAAACCACGTTGCAGGGATAACAAATAAAAAATCGTGTCAATTAGCAGAAACTTGACGAAAAAGTGGCGTGAAGTTCATTCGAATTGTGGTTCTATGCGAGATTCGAGTATAAGTTAGAAATATATAGGCATCAGTATACAGTACATATAGTGTGTGTRTATATATATACAGTCAATTCAAAAAATGTTGTCGTCGACCAACTCAAGCCTACGCGACTGGACCGAAAGGAACTCTGGGTAGTAATCATTGAAGCCGAGTTGACTCCATAATTTTATCTGACTAGTTATGCCTGGTTTACAGCACCAACCTTCGTAGGCGAGCGGGAAATGTTGAAGGAGACTTTTTTAAATGCCTTCATATTTTCGGGATTGTGAACTGAATCATAACTACTATGTCAAGTTTTTCTATCCCTAAACCCGAAGACATGCATTTGAAGGATTGTTTCTCGCCATTATTATCTTATTACTAGCGGGAACAATTAATTCAGAACGAATATTTAACCGCTTCAGTGATTTTTACCCATATTTCTTTCGGTCCAGTCGCGTAGGCTTTAGCCGGTCGACGACAACGTTTTTTGAATTGACTCGTATATATTCCAAAAATAGATTTCTCCAAAAGCGTTAATGGCTTTCGAGTGTTTGGGCGTTAATTCCGAAACSCCACATACCACAGTATTAAGAATATTAAGTGTTAATTGTTAATGACGAGTTTTAATCYAGGATTTACAACGGGTTATCATCCATAATACAGTTCTTAATTGAACAAAATGAAAGAATTTCAAAAGTTCATCTGATCTTGGTTTTGCCTGAGGARTACATTACGTATAAAGCAGAGGTGATATATAATAACTTCTGAAAAATATTCTTGCAGTGTTAGAGGAGCATAGTTTATAAAGCTTTGATTACATGATCATTTGCGTTTCAAGATCAAAGGGCTAAGCGTCACGGATGAGGTCTACCATCCGGATTAGTTCTTTGTAGCTAAGTTTGTTAGCTATTTCCTATATGTCTGAGAGCAATACTTCTTGCACTCTCAACGTGTTCTTGAACTATTTAAGATTATTAAGGAAAAAGTTAAAATAAGACGAAAGAAGCTAAGAATAAGTAAGCAAACAATATCTCATTAAGCTAATTTGAAGCTGTTCTAATTTAAGTTTTACTAACTCAAAGTTGGTGATAAAGTTTTTGCGTTTGCTTCTAAACCCATGTAACGGTTGCCCATTGTTCTTTATTCCTGTTCGAATAAACTCTCGATAATAGTTTTAGGAATGTAAAGAATACATGGCATTGTCTTTTTAGGTATTGGCATTGTTCTTTTAGGTCGTAACTTTACTTGAATTTCGAAATTGTGCAGTTGAGGAATGAAGGAGCGAATGGAGAGAAAAGGGACAAATAAGCAAAAAGAGGAATTCAATGGAAAGGAAAGGCTAGGAAAGGAAAGGAAAGGAAAGGAAAGGAAAGGAAAGGAAAGGAAAACGAAGCAATGGTGTTCAATTTATTTTGCAGTTGAAGCAGAAGAGTACGCCAGTCTAAAAATAACACTATGGCTACACCGACTCGTCGTGATTCACAAATTTGATTCCCGAGCAAATGAATACAACTGATTAAACCATAGTTAATAGATTATTAACTATGATTAAACTACGTATTTAAACATTTCTGCCACTTTCACTTGCTTCAGTATCTTCAACACTGAACTCCACAGGGGCGTAACCAGGGATCCTGCAGGGGAGGTGCGCAGGCAATGATTTGCAGAACCCCCCTCCCCAAAAAGGAAAGAAAAGAAAAAAAAATCAAACCGCCCTAGGCGAACTCATGGATACTAGTTGACGTTCCAGAGATTGGGCTTCCTGTGCCCTTATAGTTGTTGACATTCGAAGGTTTCAAAGTATTTCGCTCAAATTCATATTTTAAATGCTCAATTTAGCTGGTAAGATGATAAGTCGTCCTTTTATTTTCCTATCAACACCTGCTTTCAAGTACTATTTAATTTGTCTTCATTCAAGTCTGTAAATTCCGGATTATTTATTGGAGCGAATTTTCGTTAGTTGTCTCTAGCGACATCTTTTGTGTAGATTTGTACCTTCGCAGATTAACATACAAGAACATTGCTTCGGCGATCAATCTACTTATTTAATATTCAGAACGGCTTATTTGGATGACAAAACTGGCTGAATGTTCTTCACGACTCCATCGGAATTGTTCCAAATTTCGTCTTTTGCTAATTTTTCTACGATCCACATGATTGATTATTTAGGAAGTCACTTTAAGTAAACAACTGTTCTAATAAAACTTTGCTCGATAGAAGTTTTAAGATTTTTTGGCTGAATACTGCCGTAACTACGATCCTTTCTCTAATGAGGATAATTTCCTCCAAAGCTTGAAATCTAAATCTCGTTTTCAATTCTAATGAAAAATGATTTTTTTCGATGCATCCGGCTCGAGCTACGAGTCTTATGAAAAAATCTAAATATGTTGACGAATGTACATCAGCGTTTCTGTTTGCTTTAATACATCAGCAAAAAAGGTTTAACTCATTGAAATTTTAGTTCAGGCTTTAATTGTATTATTTTACTTCAACTTGCATCTTTCCCTGAATCTTTAAATATAATTATTTCAAAGAGAAACCTATGTGCGAGTTTGCGCGAGCACGGTGGGTCCACAGTGCTAGAAATATCCCACGTTTCATCAGCACTTCATTTCCTCATATAAATACCCAATGTAGTCTATACTGCATAAGAGTTTCGAACTTGTTAGCGTCGTGTAACGTTCGTAATCAGATGACGTAAGACGATCACTAAAAATTTAATAAGCCTAAAGCGAGATGACGTTTTACCCCCGACTCTATACCAAAATAGTTTTTAAAATTCTTTCATATTAAAATTTTTGATTCCTTAGAGAATACAGGAACAATAGTCATAATTAAAGAACAAAAGCAATGTGAAAAGGATTATGGTCTAGAGACGGGGGTAAAACGTCATCTCGCTTCAGGCTTATTATCGATCTGCTAACATCTTTGTGAGTGAGTGAGCGGTGACACATTTGCATATTCAGACCCCTCACAATAACTCGTTTCTACGCTTCGCGTATCCACGAGTTAAAAAGAAAACCAAATAAAAGTAAAAATGGGTGAGTGATTCTTAAAAATGCTATAATATGCAGATGGAAAGTGGTCTTCATTTAATCAAAAAAACATTTACATACAATTTTAAAGCAAGAGGAGATGGATGAGCGGACCTTAAGCTTTTATGGGGGGATGCACGTGCACTCTGTGCTCCCCATGGTTAAGGCCCTGCTCCAGTACACGGTGCGTTAACGTGCCATGTGTAACAGTTCTAACCTGACAAGATAACTTACCTCAACTAAGTTTGCTTTTCTATTTATCAATTACAAGATTCTGTTCATTGACTCTTGTTTCTGAAGAAAAACATAATATATTAATAAAAGCTGTATTATTTTCGGCAGTTCATACTTTTTACTCGACATTAGAGGAAAACGTTCAGTTCGCATGCGTGTTCAGGTACTTTACAATCATTTAAGAATTGCTGGGTTTCAAATGATGTTATTTCCTGCTTAGTGCAGAATAATATACATCAGCTGAATCACAAGTTTTCAATAGGATTCCTTCTGGTTGACAGCACATGGTGGACAGTGTTAGACCACCATTTGGAGCAGATAATGAGATTCAAGGACTTTTATCAGCTGAGTGAAACCCAGCAATTGCTTATTATCAACCAAGTGACTTTTTTAGAATTGAATGAAACAGCCCGAAACAGCCTGAAACAGCCTGAAACAGCCTGAAACAGCCTGAAACAGCCTGAAACCAGAAATCCAGATACACATACAATCTCCAGGATCTTCCAAGCCTCCAAATGTTAATTGCTCCGGAGTCAAAGCACAGATATTAGAGAGTTTTAGATTGACTGTTTTTTCTCCCCGCAAACGGCAAACGTGACCACGTTTTCATAGTTTTCGTGTATTTTACTTTACCTTTTACAAACCTTCTCACCAAGCGCAAATACTCTTTTGTTTTTCTACTACTTGGACTGTTTTGCGATTCTTTTTCAGTCATTTAAAATATCTTTTTACTGGTCAACTGACGTTTCACGTTTGCCGTGAACGTAAATCTAAAACTCTCTATTATCGGAAGTGGCGCCCTTTAGGGTGAAGGTACATGTTCGTTTTCTCCGATTATTCAAAAACGCATGCCACCATTGGCAATTTGCAACAGCGGTATTTATGTATTTTTGAAAAAGCCAGGCATTCTCGACTAATTTACACTGAAAACTCTACTCAAGTCTAAAATTATACTAATAAATATACGTCTACTGTCTGTTTACTTTGCTTGATTCTTAATTTTCACCCATAAAGTGCTGCTGGCTATTATACTTAAAAAGTCACTTAACATTGAGTGTTACATTTATCAACCGAACTCAATAAACCATCCCTAATTAAAGAGGGAAAAAGAAAAGAATAAAAAAGGGCATTAAGCCTCTTTGCTTGAAACTGCCTTCATATATTCACTCAATATTGTTTTTCACTAAGTTTGCCTTTTCGTGCTTCTACCCGCGCCGTTATACCTTTACTGGCACCTATTAATATTTCATCCATTTGTGAACCACTAATAATGGTTTTCAGCATTTTTCTTTTCACAAAGCAAGTACTCTAATATAACCAAATGCCCTGATGTAAACAGAGAACAAAGGTTCGCTGTATTAGCTTCTTAGTTAAAGAAAAGCGACAGTCCAACTAGGAAAAGCGGAGTCAAAATAATATAACCTGCAAGTAGAGGCTCCAGAACGGAGGGCAGATATAGATCTCTGCAAAAAGAGGAAAATAGTATTCCATTTCACGAAATAATTGGGTTTGGACGTTTAGATTTTTTTTTTTTTTTGTTGCAAAACAAATTAAGTTTAGTCAGCTGCACTTTCCAAATAGTTAACTGTATTTTCCAAAACAACACGCAACATCGAACAGAGAAGCCGTCCGCTTTCTTGGAGTTCACCACCGACAGCTGAAGAACCTTTTACCACGATTATACAAAATTAAGCTAGTCGAACAAAACTCCCTTTGCTTGCAATCATATATATACATATATACGTACGTTGAAAGAACTAACCACGAAGGACGAAGGATCGTATCAGCGTCAAAGATGTCTGGTGATGACATTAAGCTTCAAATATTTTGATTTGGAAAATTAGAGAAATGAAAAACAATTATGCTGGTGTTTACTTACTCAAAACGATGTTGGCTTGTAAGAAATGAGCTGGTCTTGTCAGATCGTTGACACCCTACTGTACTCAGAGTCAACCTTCTCCGGTCGTTAGCGTTTTATATAATAATGTTTTAATTAGTTTGTTTTTGCTTCTTTTTTTTTTTTTCCTTTTTCTAGATCATAATAAAGCTGATAATCTTCGACCGCGGCTCACTCAATCCAATTTAACAGCTTTCACATGGACAGTTTTGATTTTATTGTCTACACGAAAACCATGCATATTCAACGTATTTCCAGGAAGCTATCATTAAGATTATCTTGTTTTTAGCTCAGTAATGACATTTCCTATCCCCATCTCCTTCGAGCTTTAACGGTTTAGGAAAAGCATAGGATGCATAGGATTATCTTATCAAGGTACGCATCTTTTGGGAATAATTAGCCAAGAAACCCTAAAAAAACGTCAAATTAGTCGATACCCTGAACTAACCTCTGGGCTGACCTAACTCACGAATCGAGCTTTTTAGGTTTTGCAGAAGGAGGAAACGACGAATTTGGGCTTTGGAAACTAAATAAGAGATAAAATGCAAACTTACTTGCAGCCAGAAAAATAGGGGAAAAAACGTTTCTTCGCACGCAAAATTTTATTTGAGTCCGTTTGTTGAATCTTCCGCATCATGACATCATTCAGTATCAGTGTCTGATTAATTATATCTTCGTTCTCTCGTGTTAATATAAATATGTCCAGATCTTTTATGTTATATTTATAGACCCAATTTTCTATTGTTTAAAACTGTATGTATAGCTATCTATCTCGGCTAGCCCTTGTGGTTATTATAGATAGCATGTACCTTTATTAAGGTTTTTAATACATTGTATTTATTTTCACTTGTAAATATTATATTGCACAGCAGGTACTAAATAAACACGATTGTTGTTGTTGTTGTTGTTGTTGTTGTTGTTTAACTTGATCAATGGTCTTGATCAATGTTCAAAAGATTGCTGATCTTCATACAAGGATCCCTGATGTATTTTGCTGCTGGCTATTTTTAAATTAATGTGGCTAATGTGCATTATTCAATGCTTTCTTAGGAAGCCAATAATAGATAAGCTTGTTTATGAACTCAATGCTAGACTCTTTCTTATGGTCTCCTATAACTGGACATGCTGTAAGATTTTGAGGAATGATCGCCGCTTTCTGAATCCAAAGTCGTTGACAAAAGTAGAACTGAACAAAATCTACCTTTTGCAACAATTGCTGTTGTTTGTCTCGCAACATTGTTTGCTGTACAAAAGTTATAAGCTCAATGCTCCATGCTCGTGTCGAACGCCGTTACAAAATAAGTTGCAGAAAAAAGTAGAGTTCGTTTCTACTTTTGGCAACGATTGAGTGTCCCGGCGTTGCACCGTGTAAACCGTTCTGCAACCGCTCAAATTTGTTGCGAGACAAATTGCAGAGAAAACTGCTCCTTGTAATCGCATCTTAGGACCACAGGAAAGCTTGCTGGTTGGTTCTCAGAAATTGTGCTTACATGTGTTTTTATCTGAGACAAAAATGTTCGTACGTGTTGACAACGATTATAGAGAGTGTCTCTACTAGGCAGACAAATTATCTAAAACAGGGACGAAATAAACGCCATCTTGAAAATATGTACCCTAAAACAGACACAAGATGCAGTGCAATGTCCGCTTTTTCCTAGTCAACCTGGGAATGGCTAAAACTATCCATATCTAAAATCTTTCCAGAGTATCATCACCATTGCAACTGCTTGTTTTATATTGGATCAACACTACAATTAGCTCGACCTCTACCTGCAAGATGCTTAGATGTTTTTACGTATTTAAGGAAACAAAGGGCGTTATAAAGCTTTATTTATTCTTAGTCGAAGTTTAACATTTTTTCTAAAGTTTTTGTTGGATCATGAGACAGTACGCTTACAGACGAACGGCCGAATCAGCCAAATGAAATAAGATCTTGAATTGAAAATAAATCGTCTCAAAATGAACTGACAGCTTCACTAATGCCTTTTATCTATATCTATATGCATATCTTATAGCAGGAAAACTTCCTAAATTCCAAGTCTCTATACAGAATTAAACAAGAATCCCAATCGAATAGCTAGCTGCCAATTTTTTCATTCGTGTATGTTCATGCTTTTTTTTTTTTTTTTTTTTTTTTTTTTTTTTTTTTTTTTTTTTCTTTTTTTTGTTTCTAAAAAGGCACGTTAATGGCCTACGACAACCAAAAATTAAAACAGGAAAAAATGGGGAAAAAATAATAAACAATCAAGTGAAACAATGTCCGTTTCACGATGTCATTTATACTATAAGTAAACCTTCGTGCACAATATTCAAAGAAAGTAAGAAATTTTATGCCTCCACGGAGAGAGAAAAAGGCCGGCGAGATCAAGGTATGAGCCGGTGGAGATCACGGAAGAAAATCTCGAAGTACAAAAGAAATTAAAAAAACAACCAGCAATTTTACAAAACTGGAATCAAAACTTTTTTAGAATGCAAAAATATATTAAATTTTGAACAAGTTGATTGAGTCGATCTAAAGATTCTCCAGTCTTTAATCTCTTGGTATAGTTTTTCTCGTTGCTTGGTGAAGATCAACGCCTTTGCCTTTACAAAGCTAAGTCAGAAGATTTCCTTGTAAAATGTTACTAATCTTCCGTCCATGGCCTTGTACATGAACCTGATTATCTTTATCTTATCAGCATCTGCATAAGACCATAAAGTCGACCCTCCACACTGGACTCTTTAGACGTACTGTACAAGAAAAGATAGATGTATTGTCTACAAATGAGGTAGAAGAAACCTCATGCAAAAAGAAAACAAAAAAAAAAAACAACAACAAGGATACTCGACAACGCCTTGTTCTTGTTGAAAGATACTATAGATGGATGATTAGATGGATGCTATCTAATTTCTAACACAAATATAATTTACACTGATATTTCATGTACTTTAAATCAGCTCCCATGCCCTTCAAAAAAGAAAAAAATCTCGAGAAAGCACACATATATATATATATATATCATACAGTCAATTACAACTGAAACTTTAAGTTGTTTACACAATGCCATACGATAAAGACGCTCTGTCTTGAAGGCAAAAATCACGAACTTCTTAAAACGATATCAAAAATAATATCAGTGTTCGTGGCAATTGACTGGCAGTTCTTAAGTAGCCTTGGGCAGGT